TCCAGTCTGTTTATGCGTGCTTCTGTCCCTGTCTCCGCCTCTCTCTCGCACGCCCTCTAGTTAGATAGGTTGCTATATTTTCCACTCACGCTAGCCAACATTGATTCTCTCACCCAAAAAAAAATAAAAAATACGGTTATACTTTTACTCTGCCTCGTTTGCACACTATTTGCCGCAAACTACGAACAATTGCAACCATTTCAGCATCGTGGGAATAGGTGTTGGCGGTGGGTGAGTGGTGGGTGGTGTCAGTTGGTGGGTAGTGTCTGTTGGTAGTTGGTAGTATGGGTGTTGTCAGTGGGTATGGGTGGGTGCTTGATGGCTATGGGTGAATATTGCCAGTGAGTGGATGGGTAGCCTTGTATCTTGTATCTTGTATCTTAGGTCCCTCTCTTGTCTTTCACAAGGCACTCTAATGCAGGTGCGAGAATTCTCTAAAGTAACAGGAAATTATGTCTACTTCCAGTTCTTTAGATATTAATACTTCGAATTGACAATATCTTCCATACATATAATTATTCTACTGCTGGTTTGAGTAAACCAGTGTAGTCCCCTCCCCAGTCTTCACTTTGTTCACTGTCCTTATATCTGTTATAAAACTCACATTTATATAAATGTTCCAAGTTCTCTTTCATATTGTTATTACATAAATTGCATCGGTCATCACCGAAGTTATTTCTAAAATAGCTTTTGAGTTCTATCATGCATGTTTTACATTTAAAAGTAAAACACGTGTCGGTAAATGACATTTCTTTATATATTCCTTTAAATAGCCCATAAGTTTCTGTTGATCATTTTCATTTTCGTTTTTCCTTTGGTTTTCATTTTATTTTCTTGTTATTACGCTTTTTAAAATAGCCTGTTTTACTTGTTTTTTTTCCAGGCTTTCTTTGGTTTTATTCCTAAATCGTAGTTGTCTAAAATTTCCGAAGTTTCGTTTGCCCAATTTTTTTCTTCCTCTTTAGTCTGCTGTATGTTAGCTCTCTCTTTTCATTAATCTATTATTTTCCAAATTAACTATGAATTGCAGAAGCATGAGTTTTTTGTAATTTATCTTGTCAAATATCGGTAGTATACCAAGCTCTATTCGAAGAGCTTCTAGCGGTGTTTTACTGTGTGCTTTTCGAATTTTGCGTAAGCACTCACATATTGGAAGTCTGCGTGTTGGCCATTGAGTTTCTTTCCTGCGTGGAAATGTACGCTGCTAGTGAAGTTGTTGTTGGCATTTTGGGTGTTGGCGGTAGAGATGGTGGTAGTATGTGGATGTGGTGGCTGGGCAGTATTTTGATTTTGGGTGAACATAGCTCTAGAACTATAGCCCTTCACTCTGCCACAGGCCTGTGGCAGAGCGAAGGGCTATATAGTTCTAGAGCTAGGGTGAATAGGATGTTAGTAGGGTGTGGGGTAGTGGGGTAGTGAGTGGGTGTTCACTGTTGGTACTGGGGTTATTGGTATGTTATGGTGGGTTGTGTGGATACGTGTTGTCAGTTCGGAGGGTTGCGTGAGTTAGCAGTGAGTGGATGCTGCTGTTAGATTCAAATATATCTGTTTTGCACGTATATATTTATATATATAATTTATATATATATATTATATATATAACCCCCCGGACCTCCCCGCCAGATCCGCCCCTGTATACAGTCTAGAAAAGTGGTGTTCCCAAGTATTTAACCCTACGGCAAAATTCAAACTTCTTTTAAAATGAAAACATCTTCAATAAACTGCATCTTCTCTGCCTGAATTTTCTAGGAGAACTCTGTGAGCGAAAGTCTACCCTACGCTATCTGGTTTTCGACCTGTAACCCGTTATTTGAACTTTTCTGCCCTTCCCTCCCCTACTACTACTACTGTCCTCCTATACCTCCAAAAACCCAATAATGCATCCACCTGTAGCATATCTGCTACGTCGCTGTCTATTGCTTTACAATAATCACAGTAGCACAAAATTATCATCTCCAGCTACAGTATCAAATAGGAATTAGTTATCAAGCACCTGATATCAGACTGTACAGCGAACACTATACACTATAACACTCCTGACACTATGGATGAATAATGATAATCATATGTTGATGTTGCCATCATCCGACCAGCTGAAAACTACGACATAATCATATTTATATTACAGCCACAGCTACACTGCGAGCTTTTACGCCGATGGAAAATCAATGATACCGAAACGACAGGCAAATATAAATATCCCCATGATGTGCATTAGACCGTAAGAAACCGACTGAGCGAATTCAATTTTGGAACTTACCGAATAATTTCGACAGACCGGATACATACATGTATGCATTTTATGATTTATGTGCAACACCTTTCGAGGCTCTAACTGGTCGACCGACCACATAACCTAGTCTATTCAGGTTGACCACTGACTGACACATGGCTGGATTGGATCAGACTTGACCACTAACAAGATTAGGTCTACCGAGGCTGCTTGATGATTGGATCTGATTAGGCTCCGCATTAGACGAACTGGTCTGATCAAGCTAATAATCGACCGATCATGTGTGATTTAGGTCTACGTGGCCCTTGGCAACGTATGACGACGCTTGATGACTACCTGGGCCTCTGCCTTTAGCTATGGCCTGTGGGTGTGGCTGTGTGGTGTACCCGCTTGTGTGATGCAATGCGGCCCATGATGGCATGAAGCAGGGGTTCATAGTAGTAAGACACATGTTGAAATAAGGACTTATAAGACCCTTTCTGGAGGCCAAAATAAGACTTTTTTACGCGATTTCTGATAGATCACCGACTATTAAAGTACACTAATAATATTTATATACACAATTGCACAGCAGATTTAATTATTCCGTATTATATATACAACAATACTGCAAAAAATAAGGACTATTAAGTACTTTTCTAAGATTTCACTAAAAATAAGTACTACTAAGGGCCCTTATATTATTTTTGGCAAAATAAGTACTTATTAGACTTTGGAAGACCCGCTACGAACCCTGTGAAGGGCTACATAGCTAGAGCTCGGTCACTACTGTGCTGACCAGGGCTGCGAGAGGCTGCGTTTACACTATCGATTTTTGTCAGAAAATCGTCCCGATTTCAAGTGCATTCCAACTTGCCCCCCGACTTGACCCAAGTGCATCCCAAGAAATTCGATTACAACTTACAAGGGTTCGAGTCGGAGTCGGAGTCAAGTCGCCGAGTTGGAGAAATAGAACGTGTTCTATTTTGCACGACTCGGACGATTTGCTGACAAAAATCTATAGTGTAAACGCAGCATAAGGGATGTACGTCCTCAGAGGCTGACACGTGTTCTCATTAAAAATTTAGATCCATTTTAATTCGAGCCAGAAATGGATAACGAAACCACAATGTGCATACCCCTGGGACCCCTATATAATCATTCCTAACCGTGCTAGGCCATTACGAAATATATTATATCGCGTGCATCCAACCTGATACGATAGCTTTCATCCCAGTTAAATGCTTCTGACTACTAACATTAAATGTGTACATCGCAATCCACATCAGACAATAAACACGAAAGACTGGCCTGTTCGACAGTGAGCTATAGATATTTTATAAGTAATTTGATCGAATAAACTGCAAAAAAGAAATCCCACTTTAAAAGACGAGCGTTATTAATACTTATATTATAGCTGCTGCTTCACCTAATCAATGGCAAAGCCCATTCCATCGAGGAATTGAGTTTTACGCTATATCTTTCTTGAAGCACGCAATATAATATACTCAGAGACGTTCAAAATTATCAAAATTGTCATGATGTGTGTACATCCATACATTAGTGGGGAGGGCCATTGCAAGCAATTATTTCTAGAAATACAAATAAATTGTTTGGCAAAATTCGAAAAAAATCACATTTTGTACTTTTGTATGGAACAGAGTGATAAAAAATTGCACTGCCCCAAGTCATAATGTTGATAACATCGACAGGCCCTAATATGCACTACTCAACAAAACAAGGATATCTCCAAAATAGTCAACAGTGAAGGTGGTGCAACATTTTTGTCTCAGGCAACATTGATTTTGTCACAAAACTCCATGTTGCCCTCAGAGTCAGTCAATAATTGTATACTGTGGTCTGTGCTATGAAATTAGTCTATAAAATTTCTTTATCAAAGTCCTGCTTCCTCCTTGATTCCTCCAACTTGCCACTGCGTTTATTTGTCCTTTACTCCACCCGCCTCTATCCTATATGATAACTTCATATATTATAGCATTTACTATGAAATTTTGGGTTCACAGACGAAAAACTGCTGAACAACATTATCTATTCGCCGTTATAATTCAGGTTACCGCGCACGAATTGCCTATATAACAATATATCTACACATACACTATGAAGGAATATAATCACACCACCACCACCACCTTTTAATAGCAAGGAAACGTTTGCTGTTAATTTACTGTGTTATAGCCTATAACAGTAGGAACACGTAATAACTTTTATGCTGAAGTAATCAGTAAAATGTACGCTGACAGGCGAGTCTAAACGTCTCTTCATTTATTAATTTCTCGATTGACTCGCAAGAGGATCGTTTTAAAGCGAAGAAACCCCTCGCGCAACGTCAGCAGTAACGGTATATAAGTGTCATAAAAGTAAGGGAAAACACGAGACCCCTCACCGTCTGGAAATTATGTTCGAAATCCTGGCTTTAATAGCAAGGAAAACCCCTGCGGGCGAAGTCAGCGGACACTCAGCTGATGCTCCTCACTCGCCTTCAAACACATGGCTGCTGTAGATTACTCGTGATCATCCCATGATTTACTTGTGACATGATAGTTTTAATAGCAAGGAAACCCCGCGCACGCGACGTTATTCCAACACTTCCCTGGTGCTCCTCGTTTTAAAGCAAAGAAACCCCCACACAACATTATTCCAACACTCGCCTTCAAACACATGGCTGCTGTAGATTACTTGTGATCATCACACGATTTACTTGTGAAATGATCGTTTTAAAGCAAAGAACCCCCCCCCCACCCCCGCACGACATTATTCCGACACTCACCTGGTGCTCCTCGCACGCCTCGAACACGTGGCAGCTGTAGGTGGCGCCGGACGACGGCCGGTGCAGATAGGCGAAGCAGCAGGCGTCGGCGCTCGAGCGCGAGAAGCGGGAGATGCTCTGCAGCTTGTGCTCGAACAGCTCGCTCTGGCCGTGCTGCAGGCCCTCGTCGACCGACGGCAGCGTCCACGCCTTCACGCTGCTGCCCGTTATCTGCAAGATGGCGCAGCGCGACCCGTCGCCGCGACGCACCGACGCGATCACCCACGGCAGCATCGGCTGCGTGTAGCGCCGGTCCAGCGGCGCCTCGCCATAGTAGGTCACCTTGAACACCGTGTTGAGACTGCCGCCCGGCTGTTCCATCGTCGCATCTCAGTCTCCCGCTGCCGAGGGTAGTTGACGGTGGCGGGCGCGGGGAGGAGCGAGCGACGCCGAGCGGGGGCTTGTTTCGCGCGTTGTCGGGGGTTTTTTTCTCGTTTCGCTCACGCAGCTACATGTCCGTTGTCTTGCAGTGCGTTCACTCTAAAAAAGGAAATGGCATTCAACTAGGGGTTAAACTTAAGTAATCTATAAATTAGGTAATGAGAAAAACATACCATTCTGTCTAATTTTGTAAAAGTTTGCTGTTAAGTTCCACTGATTGAAATCAAAGTAATGTTGTTTATACAATGTTTATTTTAATCGACTATGTTAATTTATCATTTTGCATCACATTTTAGTTCATTACAAACTTCACTGATCAGGCACTATAGGTTGGCAGCAAAACAGTCCAAGAGGTATGAAGGTAGAGGTATGACGTATTGATCATTACTATCAGTGAAATTATCAGCTTCAAATGAGTTATGAACGAAAATTGCCACATGTACTCTACTAGACCTTTGTTTGTTATATTTGTCTGAGGTAAACATCAACAGGCTGTTATCTCGAGCCTTGTGCTAATTTCATCTCCAATACACCATGTCCACTTTTGGCAACAACATCTGATATATATGAGTTTGACTCGTCATACTAGTTCTAGAAGTACTTAGAAAGTTCCAATAGATTGAACCCGGGTATGCTGGCTTGTTCAGTGATCTGGCACGAATTGAAACCGGCAGTCTTTAGTTTCTAGAGCCATCACACCTGGCGGCGTCACCGTTTCTCTCGATATAAACAAACTGTGTTTACCTGTGCGACTGCCGATCTCAGTGATCTGTGCTAATTCATGGCTAATATTACCCCCTCCCCCCAATATGGCACCTAAGATGTCAAGAAGTAGTGCAGTATTTATATTTCAGATGTTATTTAAACGACTGTGATTCAGAATTTTCAACTGTCCAGCCCCTGTCTGGCGCCAAGAATGCCAGATTATGTAGGTTCAACCTATATTGCATCTTGTCTTGAACTTTACCAAATATGATAACCCAAATATTAGTGGTGGTGCCTAGGAAACAACTGCTGTGTCCTTGAAAGGAAGAATGAGTACACAGGCGTACACTGCCACACTACCTGAAGATAATTTAGATCGAAAGACATTTTAATGCGTATTCTGTTAATCGTGGCACAAGATGTTGAGCTAACAGATTGAATTAATTTGCATATGTCACAGTTATGGCACATCTAGGAGGAATAGCATTAAATACAAGCGCTTCTTCTTAAACTGTATCCCAAACATTATACCTCCTATATATTCTTGCACTTCCCTAGCTGCTTCTAAAGCAGTATATAACTTTAATATTAATAGTAACAGTATAACATTAATATCTTTTTCCTCAATCCTTAACACATAACGGCCATCAAAGATATTACGTAGCTTTCGTTTAAAAATTTTTGACTAGTGACGTGCTTTTTACCCAAAGTGTAACCAAAGAGGCTAATATATTGCTTTTCAAGTATACGGGTGCGTCTGTTCCTATTCACAGGAATTTCACAGCATGCCTAACAGTTATACTAATACTATTATTATCACAGACTAGTGGTAGAGCAAGGGACTATTCTATAAGAACCGATGTTCTATAAGAACCGATGTTAGTCGTAAAAACATCCAGCTGCTGTGCAGTAGAAAACCGTACGTACGGCATGTCAGCACGAACACAGGCACTTGGAGCGTTTCAATAAAATATAATGCTAAACAAGAGCCGCAGAGCATCTGGGCTCATCTGAGGTCTGTTGCTACGGTTGTAAATGTAACATTTAAGTAGTGCGTAGTGGCACCTTTGTTAGGCGCAGATATGCAGATACGCAGTTGCGTACACATCATTTCAGCAACCTTCTGCATTCTGCATACCTCCCAAATCCCATTGGTTGATACAAATCGCGTGCCTAAACTGTTTTATGGTGCATTGTGACCCTAACCCTAACCCTATTTTTTATTTTTTATTTGTTGTTATTAAATTGTTGTAAATAAATCATGTAAATGTTTGCGTTAATTGGGAAACAAGTGCCGCAGTGCGACAGGGCTCATCTGGTGGCTGGTGTTCTGCTGATAAATTCATTTGTGCATAGAAAGACGTCTTATACATAAGTCTTCTTTATTCTTGTTTGACTTTCGTAGCCAATTCAAACAAATATATCAGCTACACTTTCGCACCCACCTAATCTCTATGGGCTAATTCTAATAACAATTCAAATACAAGTTAATGAATGACATTGACGTTGACATCAAAAATTTCAACATATGAGCATGAATCTCCAAGTTTAATTAGAGGGGGGGTCCTTCTCTCCCACCTCCCTGCCCACTGCGTCCCACCTCCCTCCCTCCTGCCTCTCACCTCCCTCCCCCTGCCTCCCACTTCACTCCCCTTGCCTCTCACTTCCACCCCCTTACCTCCCATCTCCCTCCCCCTGTCTTCGGCCTCCCTCCCCCTGCCTCCCACCTCCCATCCCCTTGCACACCATCTCGCATGACCTGATTGTACCCCTGCTATGCCACCATCGCGCATGAATCACCTACACTGTGTATACGAACGCATTTTACTGCAATACCAGCACCAGTAGCTCCCAAAATGTAGACAGGCGATGGTACGCGATGAGGGTAAACATTGTCGAGG